CCACTCAAGACAAGACGCCTACAAGGGAAATAACGACCGTGTAAATAAAGACACAGAAAGTGATGGAAAAGGTGGTAGATCGCACTCACACATCCATAGTATAATTTCTATGTCGGTTCATGCGTGGACTAATGAAGTGATCATCAGTCGTGCATTCAAACACAAGTTCAAATCCGCGTACAAACTCATCAGGAGAAGGAACCCTCTTACACTCTGCAGAGTCCTCTACTGATGCCTTCAAGTCAGAATCTGGCTTGACCCAAGTAGGAGCTGAGCGCCAGCCACTGCCATCTGCAACACCCATGAGGAGTATAAAATTATAAATTTATAAAACCAAACAATCACCTGACCTACAGTGGTGCAAAACTCTTGCTGGGAAAAAAAAGAAAAAAGAAAAAACCTCAGACTGACAGATTGCAGGCAGGCAGAATATGCAACTGCTGTAAGGTGTTAGTCTGTAGATTGCACTCTGCACCTGGGCACCCATCAGCAGAACGGTCACAACCAAAGCAACGGAAGGGGCCGGCTGCCCAAGCTTCACATTATCAAGAAATGAGCGCAAAAAAAAAGGCTGGGTCATTCGAGGTGGCCCACTAGAATAGCTGCACACAAAATCCAGCCAAATAGTGTATCAGGCCTCCTATGTAACCAGAGTGGCTCGGGACCACGTGCCCAGCCAGGCCAAAAATGAATTAAAGAAAACAAATTGTATTTATAATTTTGTTTTTAATTTGGCAAAGAACTTCGATTTGACCGTCCTTCGGTAGATCCGTTAAAATTGGAACGATACAGAGAAGATTCGCATGGCCCCTGCGCAAGGATGACACACAWAAAWCAARAAATGGTCCAAATTTAAAAAAAAAAAAGAAGGAAAAAAAAAAAACTTCGATTTGACCCTGAGGCAAAATTTCCCGCCACCATTTGTGGGTAGCCTGCCCACATTCCCTCATCATATGGCAATGGTGGAGGAAGTGCTGGCCTACGCTTGGAAACTCAGACTTTCCTTGGACTGACTCGTGGATCCGGTCTGGTTGCCCGGATGCCACCAAGCCTCTTGAAGTCGGTTGGGGATATATAGCGCAAGTCTGCAGAAGTGTTATCATGAAGGCAATATGGCAGGCTCGGAATCAGAAACTGTTCAGGGACGAGTGTACCCACTCAGAAGAATTGAAAGGGGTCATTATCTTTCAGATTAGACTGATCATCATTGCAGATTGGCAGAGGAAAGGACCGTTCTGGTTTCTGCGGACCTGGGCAGTTGGCGACCATTTTGCTTCTGTTTCGCAGGAAGGGAAACTGATAATCAGCCCCTGGTTGACCCCTCTACCTAGAGTGAATAAGCCGGTGGGGCAGCTACCCAGAGTAGGATGGCTAGGCCATTGTCCTGAGTAGGTAAGGCTAGTTCCTCCCTGCCTTGTGGCGGGAGATAGCTGGACCAAAGTAGGAGTGCAGTGTACTTTCAGGATTGAGAGAACGTCTCGGTGGGACACTGGACCCGGTTTCCAGCAGCCTGAAGCTGGGTAAGGGCCTCAGCATGTTTGTACCGGGTTGCTTGTTGGGTGTGTTCCCGGGCCCTGTTTTCATTGCAATATAAAAAGTTCGATCTTTTCCGAAAAAAACAAAATTCTGCGCAAACACAACATAATATTTTTTTCTTTGGATAAAAAAACAGAAAAAGAAATACAGGGACCTTCCCTGACCCTTCCCCGGCCGGGCCACCCGGGCAACCAAGGTGACCCGGGCGGCTCGGTCGCTGATGCAGGCATCGGCACATTTTCGGAGAAACATCTGGGAGATCGTTTACATTCTCTCTTAGAACAAAGAGACTGATCACGCGCCACCAACACACCAGTCCAGAACAGTTGCAGTTGGCAGTCAGAATCAGTTGACTGTTGAAAAGACAATCTTTTGAATCTTTTGAATATAACAGGAAGCTCAGTTGAGAAGACTGTTTCAGAAAAAAAGGCTTACCTTTTGTTTGGAGCATAAGCAAAGCTCTCTATTATGCAATCACTCTACCGGGAGTCTACCCTCTTTTCTTTTTCTTTTTTTCTTTCCTTTCATCTTCATTTGACTGAATGAAGTCAAGGTAGTGGAAGTCGATAAGGGAGGGGGAGGGGGAGAGGGAGAGGGAGAGGGAGAGGGAGAGGGAGGAGGGGGGGGGGGRGGGAGATCCAGGCAAGCACGGATCAGATTGGATCCAACCTCTGAAATCTTGTCAAAATTGAGTAATTCATTTTATGTCGAATGTGACCGTGTTTTTCGAGTGATACTTTCTTTCCCTTTTAAAAGGGGGAAGCCCCACCTAGGTTACCAGAGTGGCCTGGGACCACTTGCCCGGACGGGCCAATAAATTTAAATAAAAAATATAATAAATTTCGTTTCATTTTTAAAATTTTCATTTCAAATTTGCAATCAGACTTGTCTTTCCCGACTTTCAGCATGCGTACAAACAGATGACGATCAATCTGGCGCCTTGCGCCCGCACAAAGCTCAGAGATAATGAAGCCAAGAAAACAGCTCAGATTCAAACTTGTCTTGGTCGGCTATGGCCGACACCTGTACTCTCAGCAACTTGTTTGTACACACACCCTGGATCTCCCTGGATGTCCCACAACTTCCCCTCTCTACACATACACTAACACTACTAACTGCTGACGTGGTGGCTATGGCCGCCGTCTCTCTCCTCCTCTAACAAACTATCGTCTATGGCCGATCGTCCTCCTCTTAGCCCTCTTCTTCCCCGGGCACCTGCAGACCTTTGTACACAAGACGCTCCGACAGCGCTTTCGCACGGCTCAAAGGCAGAATGAATCCATGACTGATCGCTGCCTCTTTATTTATACTTTGGATTGTTGCTGGTCTGCCTCTCTCCACTGGGCCCGGAGTGCACACAGTCCTGCATGGTACTTGCTGACTTGACAGGGTGCGACTGGGACTGGGTACTGCTGACTGAGCAAGGTAAGACTGCCCATTTGACCACTTGCCTATGGACGGTCTACTAGGACTTACGAAGGGCCAGTTCCGGACCTTCCGGAAGACTGTCGACTTGGCCCTTCAACACTGTAGCAGCTACGGCTCCTAACCCTGCTAAGACCTCTAACCTACAGATCTACGTTCAAGACACGACGACCACCCTACCTACAGCAACAATCAGGCGACTTTCAAGACACAGGTCGCAGGTTCGAGCACACATGGGGGGGCTGGTACTGTACACGGGTAAGGCCGAGGTCTGGGGATCGAGCTCTGGGAACTGCAAATGCTACCGCAAAGGTGAAAACCGTTTCAAATTAGGTAAAGAATTTCGATGTGACCCTGAGGCAGAAGTTGAAAGTTTTGTCTAGTTTAGTTTTCTGCATAACATAGTTGTTTTTTTGAATGTTTTGGGATTTATCATTATTATTATTATCATTATTGTTTTTCTTGCTATGACCTTCCCTGGTCCTTGCACGGCTGGGCCTCCCGGGCAAACAAGGTGACCTGGCGGCCCGGCTGGTAGTGCAGGGCAGCGCCTTAATATTGCATTATTTATATCTGATTGCATCCAAATTTGCAACTTATGACCTGTTTACCAACGCTTACGTTTGTGTACCACTCCGATAGATGGGCCTGGCCATTTTCAGCAACCTTTAGAGTCAAAGATCCTTAAGTTTTCGTTATTGGGGAGCATCAGTCCGTTTCTTTTTTTTTTCTTTTCTTTTTTTTTTCAAACAGGGCCTTATGGTCCTGGCTCCTTCTATTCTGGGGAGCGTCAGTCCGGTTCCTATTCCCCCGGCAAGTCAAAATACATAATACATGAGACAGAACTCACTCACGCTTCCTTCCGTTCAGGCCGAAGGACCCCTGATCAGCATTGATTGCTCCATCCTAGTGGAGGATTGACTGTCAGCATCAGTCCGTTTCTTATTCGACTGGCAAGTCAAAATTCACAAAATGCAGACTCACACTTCTCTTCATCAGTGCTGGGCGTTCGAGGGCCCATCGATGATGGCAAGTTCTCTCATGATCTCTACCACAGCCTTTGGATCAAGCCTTCTATTCACCTTCCAGTGGTAGAGATACTCC